TATACCTGCATAGTTTTGTTGAAGGTGCATTGATTGATGAGCATATGGGGCGGAGTGGATGCCCTTCTTTGTGAATTTTAGGTAAACCGTAAATTCTCGGGGCAACGGCCGTGTCTGTTTTCATATTTTTCTTTTCCCTTTCGTTGATAAAACCATTTTTAAATAATTCGTCAACTAGTTCGTTGTTTTTCTTTTGTAGTTTGTATGTAGGGTCCGAGCATACTCGCTTATATGCCATTATGTCATTTACTATTGTATCCATCTTTTTATCGTAATCTAATCTTTTCATGGCGACCGTTGTATTGCCTTTGTCTGCTTCCAATATAATAATGTTTTTATTTTCTTTCATAAATTTTCTAGTTTGATTCACTGTGCGTAAATAATATTTTTCTCTTTCCGATAGTTGATGTTTGTTCACGTGATTCTCTATCATTGATGTGAAGTTGTTTCTCGCTATCTCCTGATTCTCTTTGTTTCCAATGGTTTTTATGCAGTCTTCTCCGTCCGCTATGTATTTGAGTAGGGGGAACTCTTCTTTTGTATGTGGAAGAGCAAACTTTTTGCCATGTGAGAGTAGCCAGTTTATTTCATCGGGTATTTCTGTGTCAGTTAAGTTTACGAACCAGTGTTTGTTGTGTTGTATTTCCAGCTCTTGCTTCTGTTGTTCTTGTAAAGCTTGGAATTTCTTTTTGTGTTTTTCTTTTATGTCTCTAAACGTCTTTTTTGATATTTCATTTTCACATTCAAAGAACTTTTTTGCATCATTTTCCCACAATATTTGTTTTATATACACCTTTGTTGCTTCTATTTTATTATTGTTTATTTTTTCAGTAAAAATGAAAATGAAAAATGCCAAAATATTACATCGGGACAACAAAAAACAAATTAAAAACACGGTTATCCGGATACAAATCAGACATAAAAAACAGATCATCAATAACAACACAGAAAACAGCACTTTCTACCCACTGTGCCACCGAACAACATCATCCAGAATTAGAGAGAGTGAGAGTGCTACAGTGCGAGAACTACTACCAAAAGGGACTTATGTTGGAAACTCTACACATAATGAATACTCCAACATCACAACGAATAAACTACAAAACAGACACAGAGAATCTAGCACACAGTGATCAGAAAGATAAACAAAATACAATAAGAGAATGCTGCAGTGACAAAACAGATGGAAACAACACAAGGTCGGCGTCGAAACTTGGCGATATTTTGTAAAACTTTGTTATATGTTTAAACAGTATTGTTCCTGGTGATGTCTTCCGTTGGAGGACGAAATATCGGAAATAATAAATAATTAAACAACAACAAAGACCTCGAGCTCGTTTTTTATTAAATTTACATTTGTAACAATTTTCGTTTATATTTATTTCTTGTGGATATCAAGTATCTACAAAGATCGTTCACATTGCTTTTGTTAGGTTTTTTGTGTTTAGTAGATATTGACTCAAAACATGTGGATTTTAATATATTCGTAAATTCATTTATCGATTCTTCAATGTTTGATAAAGATATATTGAGTAATGTGGAAGCCGTTATTTTTGAATTTATTAAAGTTGTAAAATTGTTCCAGTCGGCTTTATGAAAATCTAGATAAGTTGTTTCTGTATTGGAAATTTCTTCTTTAATGGAAAAAAGTAATGGCACATGATCGGAACATAAAGTATGAGGATATGTTTCCAGGTCGGTGAATGACACTGTCGAGTTTGAAAGCAGAAGATCAATAGTTGAGGCTTGTCTATGGGTCAAATTTTGTGGAAATCTGGTGGGGTAAGGTGGGTAATATATATAGTAATTGTTATTATTTTGATGATTAAATAAAGCGTTTCCGGCAGGATCGGATTTTGTGCAGTTCCAACTAGGGTGTTGTGCATTTAAGTCGCCTAAAATGAAGAAATCAACCGTTTCTGATGTTATCATATCAAGGTCAAAGATAAAGTCAGATGTGTACCGAGGACAATATACAGATAAGAATTTGATTTTGGAGTTGAGAAACTCGACGGTGATGCATATATTTTCCATCAGTTTTGTAGGATAGGATGAATCAATCTTGTGTTTCAAAGAAGATTTAATGGCGATTGCCACTCCTCCTCCATGGGAGCTTCTATCTTTTCTGTGTACTTTGTATCCAGGTAATTTTAAGTTATGATTTGGTTTAAGAAATGTTTCGTTCAGTAGGAGAATGTCAATGGATTTTTCTTTTAAAAATGTATAAAGCTCTGCAGACTGCGAGAGAGTGGTAAATCCTTGACAGTTCCAGTGCATTACTCTAAGACTTCTTTGTATATGATTATATTGCATATTTTAGCATAGTCATAATAACATTTAATTGTTCCATTTTTGTTCTACATTTACGTAGATCTGATATCGCGTGTGGAAAAATTTGAAATAAACCGGATTGAATATTTTAGGGTCGTTTGGAGTAGAGATTGAATTTTTTAGTTGGGGAAATTCATTTGCGGCTATATCAAAGTTAACAGGATCAGGTCGTCTTTTTACAGACAATTTCTTCATTATATTTTCTCGAATTGCCAGGTACTCTTTTCGGCATGGACATCGTGGATCGTCGGCTCTATGGTTGTTGTTCTTAAAATTTTTCTTTGTGCAATTAAAACATTTGTATGCGACAGGACTTCCTTGTAGATTTTTGTCTATTTGGCATATAGCTACGTCGTGAGCAACCGATTTAAGGTATCTTGAAAGCTTAGGAAAAGTTTCCGGAAGGATATAAATCCTTTTTTACTAAATGTCCAATTTGCTCTACGATACAGTCCCAATGAATTGCATTTTGAGTTCTCATTGGCCGGATTATTGCCATGTGAAAGAAGTAGGTCCACGTAGGTCACTCATTCCATTTTTAATATTATTCATTCAGAATTCGAAACAAAAAAAATTTACTTCATTATAGTATGTCAAATTGAAAAAAATCACACCAAAATTATTTTTTTTCTTTCATATTTTTTTGGTATATTTACACCGATCCAAATCCGTCAAGCCGTTTTTTAGTTAGCCAAATTGAAAAAATCGTGCATCATATAAAATTGACAAAAAATAAAAACAAATTGACAAATTTTGTTGTTGCAAAATGGTCAGGCTTAATCCCATTATTGTTGTTTTTATAAAAACAACGTTTGTTTATTTATTTTGAAGAACGATGGTAATGTTTATCAAAAATCTTCATCTTGTTCGATTATTTTTTTACAGCATAGTTTAAAGTCCTTACGAAGTTTGTCAATATTATTTTGAAATTCGATTCCTTTGAAACTTTTTTTTCGATTTTTTCCCAACTTAAAAATTTTTGCAATGAGATCTCTTTTTAGAGATTTTGAAAAAAGTAATTATCTTTTAACTTTGGTGTGACCACGTTGAATTATTTCGATATCATCTATTCCGGTTCGCCACCACATAATTCGGCTCTACACTTCAATGTAACCAACCTTCAATTTCAGTTCTCAAGAAATCGAGTCAATTAAATTAATTGGTATTAATATTCGAATTCAAAAATAAAATATAACAAACACTACAAATGTACATTCCACGAAAGTAAGTCAAAATGGAAAAAAACATGCAAAATAAAACATTACGATCGTACATTTCAAAAGTCAAAATGAAAATGTTAATATATCACATTTTAAGCAATTTTTCTGAATTTTATCCTTTTCGACAAAGAGACAATTCCGAATTTGTATAAATCGTTAAAATCAGTTCAGCGGTTCTTAAGTTGTAAGCGTAGTAACTAACACAACTTTCTTTTATATTATATTATATTATATTATATTACATTATATTATATTATATTATATTATATTATATTATATTATATTATATTATATTATATTATATTACATTATATTATATTATATTATATTATATTATATTATATTATATTATATTATATTATATTATATTATATTATATTATATTATATTATATTATATTATATTATATTATATTATATTATATTATATTATATTATATTATATTATATTATATTATATTATATTATATTATATTATATATTATATTATATTATATTATATTATATTATATTATATTATATTATATTATATTATGTTATATTATATTATATTATATTATATTATATTATATTATATTATATTATATTATATAAGATTATATTATATTATTGTATATAAGATGTACTGACCAATAAAAGGGGATGTTGAATGGTGTGTCATACATTAGGTTCTGCCCTGACAAATTTTCTTAATAAAACACGGTTTGGGGTTTCTTATTATTTTTTTCTTATAATTTCATACATTTTTGCCTCCGGTACTGAAGACTAAATGAAAATGAGTGCTACTTTAATTCACGTAAACTACTCTATTTACTTTCATTGTCCTATTCTGTGCATATCTGCCCTCATCTAGAATTTTAAAAGGGCATTATACTACGTCATTTTAAAGAATAATTTTTAATTATTGGTTTGGCACTCAATTCTATATGCTTTGTTTGTTACTTCAAAATTACAGCACACACTAAAACACATCCTGACAAATAACACTCAGTTATGACGACGACATGGTTCGATGTCATCGTCGACACCCTGCATTAACAGAGAACACCATGCAAATATTGGAGTCAGCCATGCCACCACCGAACCTTAGACAATGGCACACAAGAATCAAAAAGAGGGATGTTTTTGGTTTGGTTTTGGAGTAGACAAAGTTAGTGTATCGAAAAAGCATAATTCCTACAATTCGTCTCTTGTCACAAATTAAAAAATGCAAAAAAAAAAAATGATTCCGTTTAGGATTTTATCGTACATTTATATTTTTAAATGAAAAAAGTTTGAATGGTTTGATTAAAAATCCAATTGCTAAGTTTTTGGAATGTTTTGATCAGATGTTCCACGATGTAGATGTATGCAATTTTCTTTGCAAGTTTAATTTTTAGTAGAAATAATTGTAAGTACCTACCCATGTGGTTTGTATATGCCGAATTATTTAAAAATCACATAGTAAGAATTGTTTATAAAATGCTAAATATATTTTCAGTTTCATGTCCAAGGTAAACGTTTTCGGAAATTACGTATTGAAATTTGCAGGTATAATTTTAGTTGCTGTTATCTCATATTGCAATTTTTAAGAACGTGTTCAAAATTTAATTAATAAAGGTTGATTTTTTTTAAAATAGTTTTTCTACACATGTGACATATACGCAAAGTTTCGGCGCATCGTGAACACGACCCATGACCACATAGAAAAGCGACATCACGAATTCTTTCCATACATATACTACAATAGTGGGATTCTTCGTATTCGAGAATTTTATTTTCCAAGTACCGCAGACGTTCTACAGCAGGTATGTTACTAGAATCTGTATTTGGCAAAATTCTACCATTTTCACCAATTCTTCTTTCGATATAAACAGTGCATCTCAAACACTTTTTCATTCGCTTGCCGCAATCTTCACATGATATTTGGTGCTGGCATGGCTCAAATGTAATTAACGGTAAATTTTCATCACATACAATGCACGTTTGAGGGATAAAAGCTGGGGATATTGACTCAATTTGGTCGTCTTGTTTAGTGTGAACTGATATTCCATCTTCTGCTGTCGATTGCATTTTGGTCTTACCTGTAACGTCGATTGAGTCTATGAACGGTGGTATTCTACTTTGTGTTGTATCTTCATTAGAAGCTGTTTGCAAATCTAATGCTGATGATCTGCCAATATCCGACTGTTCAGGGTTGGTGGATGCTAATCCTTCTTGAATATTTGGGTCTAATCTCATTACATTTATGTTTTGGGCAATTTGCTCAATAGCAGATTCTGTTATGTTTGTTGTTGTTGAAGAATTTTGGACATCAATTTGCAGAGTCGCCACACTTGGTCGGTGTTTTAATATAAGTTGTTTGCGCTTTATGTCTGTTATCCATTCAAATATGTTTATACCTTTATTGTTGTATTCTATTTGGCATCCCAAACGATGTAAATAACATAGCAATGTGTACATAAGTCTATCCTCATGAACATGTGATAAGCTTTCATAAATCGCAAATATTTCTGGTGAATCTGCTACTGTTGGTTCTGCAACTTGTAGGAGATTATTTTTCTTTACAACACATAAGTGCATTGCGTTGTCCCCATCCTCATCACGCGCTGTAACATCACAACCCAATTTTGCAAGTTTTTCAATGGCGGACACATGACCTTGAGAAACCGCTAAAAGAAATGGAGTTTGGCGTCGATTATTTCGAATGTCAATATCTGCTTGTCCCTCTTTGATGAGCGTCTCTACCACATTTGCGTGGCCATTAAGGGCAGCTAAATGCATTGCAGAAAATCCATCATCTTTTTTTACATTAACGAGCTGTCGAGCCAGCTGCAAGATGCGTCGAGTAGCAACAACATTGCCTTTGAGCGCAGCATGATGAAGCACATTAAATCCTCTATTATTTTTAACAGTAAAATCTAAACTTGGCGAATTGCATAATATTTCTACAACTTCTGTGTTTTCTTTCCCTATAGCATCATGGAGAGCTGTATCACCATATAAGTCCTGTATGTTTACATCAACATTGTGGTTCAATAATTCTCTAACACAGTGAGGCGTTTTTTTATGGGCACAAATATGAAGTGCGGTACAATGGCTGGAATTGAGAAAATTTATATTCGCCCCGTTTTGAAGGAGGATTCGCATAGTTTCGGGCTGGTTTCCGAAAGCTGCATAGTGCAAAGCGGAATCACCTTCCTTATCGACTATATTTACATTTGCTCCTTTAGAAATCAATAATTTTACTATGTCCACAAATCCTTGGTGGGCTGCTACCTGAATGGATGCCTTTCCCCCACTCATGACATTAACATGATCTGGATGTGTTTGTAGGTATTGTTTTACAAAGTCGATGTGCCCATGTGCGGCTTCGCGTACCAACTTATCAGCCATTGAAGATCCAGATAAACCAGATAATGGAGTCATAACATGATCCGTGCGTCTATTACTTAAATCCATCATACTATTCGACCGTTCTGCGGCTGATGCAATTGGAGATCTTTCCAGCTTAACACATTTTGGGTTAAGAGTCCATTCGAATCCATCATCGAGTTGTTCGAGACGTAAATCACCGTCGGAGTAAACTTTAACGACCTTGCAGAGTTTGCCAAGTGCCTAAAAAAACACAATCAACTAATGAATTTGAATTCTGTAACATATCTTACATATCGCATAAGTTCTATCCACTCGCCGTGTCCCTTTTGAAGTTGCTGTACTGTTGTTGCATCATTTATTATAGTAACTAAATCTCCGACGCGAAACGACATAACTTTAACCAGGGCGGTTGGATGAAAAGTCCATCTATTCGAGCAGTTCTCATACTGTACCCTGAAATTCAAAATTGTATGTATTTATATTATTTCATATATATTTGTATTATAGCTTTTAGCAAGATATGAAACATTTAGGATATGTCCGTGACCAACTTTTATTAAAATGGAAATAGTTTTATAAAATAAACAGAAGTTTATTTATATGAGATTTATAAAAATTGCTATAACCACATTTATAATGCGCTCCATAAAATGCTGCAAAAGGGACAAGCGAATTGTAGAACTGTCACAGTGAGGCTGTGATACCCACAAATACCACAAAAATAAAGAATATGCAGCTTGTGGTGAACATTACATTCCTACATAATATATTTTATTTATTATCATGTTAGTTGCTATAATACTTCCCATCAATTCAAACGTTCTTAAGGGTTTAAATATTAAGACTTAACGTTCATTGCACATGTTCCTTTTAATGAACATGAACGTTTTGTACAGTACTTCCACATTCTCATCAGATTCCTTGTCTACCCAATTTGACAATTCTCTTTTCTAACTAATCTTTCTTTTCCTTACTTTATAAAAGCATAAGCATGGTTAAAGCTCCACTAAATATAGCTGTTTTATTGGGGTCTATACGACGTTGACCTACATAGGCATTGTTTGTCATAAGCCATTACCATATTCAAATTCGAAAACTTGAAATAAACGGTGAATAATGTAGCTAAAATCATCAAAATAACGTATACAGGGATGTACCGTTACATCTGTAGTATCCATCACGAACTTCAAATACCAAATTTGAGACAATTCCGGTTAATAATGTCGCTAAAATAATAAAAATACCGAATATTGTGAGGTACCGTTATATAGGGGCTATACGAAGACGTTGCCCTGCACAGTAAATGTTCTGTATTATGCTGTAATATTCCTTTGGAACTACAAATATCAAATTTGAAACAATTCCGGTAAATAATGTCGCTAAAATCATCAATATACCGAATATCGGAAGGTACCGTTATATGGGGGCTATATGAAGACGTGGACCTGAACAGCCAATTTTCTGTCTTAGGCTGTAATGTCCCTTTCGAACTTCCAATACCAAATTTGAAACGATTCCGGTAAATAATGTCGCTAAAATCATCAAAATACCCAATATCTGGAGGTACCATTATATGGGGGCCATATGAAGACGTGGACGTGCACAGACAATTTTCTGTATTAGGGTGTAGTATCCATTACGAACTTCAACTACCAAATTTGAAACAATTCCGGTGAACAATGTCGCTAAAATCAACAAAATACCGAATCTCGGGAGGTTCCGTTATATATGGGCCATACGAAGACGTGGACCTACATGGTCCATTTTCGAACTTAACTTACCTTCGAAAGATAACGTGATTACAACAGACAGACAGACGGACATCACTAAATCGACTTTTACACTGATCAAGAATATATATACTTTCTTGGGTCTGACAGGAGTATTTTGAGGAGTTACAAACGTTAATATACCCTCCATTGTATGGTGGAGGGTATAAAAATACCATCATCTACAATCGGATGTATATTTTTTGAGGTAAAGTTAATTCAAAGTGACTAATGTTGAAAAGTTAAAATTAATTTTCGGAACATATTATTCGGATTAATTTATTTAGTAGGCGGTAATATAACATTCTCCCCTGCTTAGTAATCTATACTTCCGAACTGTGATCTGAACAAAGAGTCAGTGATAAACATATTAAAATACCATTTATTTCAACATACGAAGTGAGATTCTTCTGTAATACAATGCGGTGTTCTTACCCTAGCGAGAAGCACAGGTGTTTGCAGACAACGTGCAATCAGGCAGATTTCTAATCAATTTCTACAATTCCGCAGTTGACTCCCGGATTTCAAAAACTTTTCTACCAGAACGCTGCATTCCATCCTTTCATATCAACCTCACTTCGTCAAGGAAATGCATTCCTACCTGATTGAAGAAATCATTAATTTAAGAAATCTTTGGTACCCATTTCAAACCTTCTAACCGGAAAAGCTCGTGACTGGTTTTGGAGGTATCACAAGCAGGTTCCGTCGGTTATGTGGCCTGAATTTTGTGACGCCATAAGAAATCAATATAAATCTGCTTATCATATTCGTGAAGAAATTCGCAATCGCAAACAGAGGCCAAACGAAAGTTGACGCTTTTTTTCGAAACCATATCAGGACTTATTGATCGTTTACCTTTACAAATGACAGAATTAGTTGAAATAATTCAACGCAACTTAAGACCAGGTATACGCCAGGATTTACTATATGTCGCTATAGGATCTATGTTTGAGTTACGTAAATTAGTCCAAAAACGACAAAATTTTCTAAACAATGAACACGTTTGGTTTCGAGGCCCCAAAACTCCAACTTCGTGACACGTAAACATATAGCAGAGGTAGATGAAGACAATCAGATAGAAAATCATAGTGAATTAAATGAACATTTTGTAGAGGTTTTGCTAAAAACCGAAAGTCAGAAATGTTTGAACTGTGACACTATTGGCCATCACTGGCAAGACTGCGTTCAACAACGTACTGTATTTTGTTATGGCTGCGGTGTCAAAAATGTTTACAAACCGAATTGATTAACATGTAACATTAAGAAGCAATAATATCGACTTCTGTTGATGAATTCGAAAGCCCTCTCACAGATGCCCAAAAAACTGAAAATAAGAATTCAAACTATGCTTTTACAGAGCAGAAACCCAAAAAATATGAAGTGCCAACGGACTTGAAATTATGAAAACCACGATCGAGACAGACCAAAAATACACAATAACCATTTTGAAAAGGCGTGAAATTGAAAATATTTCTAAGGAAAAAGTTAAAATTTTATATCCCAAGTTTCCATACCATCAGCGTTGGGAACTGTACGTAAAAAGTGGTAAAATTCAATCTATGAAACTCTTTATAATACCTTCGATATCCAATAAGCTAATTCTCGGATTAGACTTTTGGAGGTCTTTTAACCTAATTCCAAATATTTTACACTTAGTTGACTTATTAGCCATCGACAACAACACAAATGTAACTCTTTCGGAAATCGATTCCCCAGATTGCAAAATAGCGCAGAACCTTGAGCAATCAACTGACTTCATTCCTCTAACAACCTTGCAACGTAATTAGCTTCAAACTGTGATCGAAATGTTTCCCGATTTTCAAAACCAGGGCCTGGAAAGAACGGAACTTATAACCCATGCTATTGATGTAGGTGATGCCACTCCAATAAAGCAACGGTTTTACCCACTGTGTCCTGCGGTTGAAAAACTGATGTTCAAAGATATAGATCGCATGTTAGAACTCGTAGTCATAGAGCCTTCAACCTCCGCATGAAGCTCTCCTATGCGACTGGTTGTCAAACCAAATAAAGTCCGGTTGTGTTTAGATGCCAGGCGTCTGAATGCAGTAACAAAAAAGATGCATATTCGCTACCGAACATCAAAGGAATCTTCGCTAGACTTCCTTGTGCCAATCTAATATCAAAATTAGATCTTAAAGATGCCTTTTGGGAAATTGGCCTGGAGCCTTCATCAAAACATTTCACGACGTTTACAGTGCCTGGAAGGTAATTATACCAATTTAAGGTAATGCCTTTCGGGCTCTGTAATGCGCCGCAGACTATGTGCAGGGTAATGGACGAAATCATTCCCCCTGACTTACGTCATTATATTTTTGGGTATCTGGACGATCTTGTTATCGTGTCAGATGATTTTCAGTCCCATCTAGAAGTCCTTGTCCGCATCGCTACCCAATATCGGAATGCCAATGTAACCTTGAACATTGGTAAAAGCAAATTTTGTGCAACGAAAGTGAATTATTTGGGATATATAATAGGAACCACCGACCCCGAGAAAATAACTGCAATATCAAATTGGCTTGTACCACGGAACCTCAAGCAAGTTAGATTTATTAAAAGTTTTATTAAAAATTTCTCCTCTGAAACTTATACTATTTCAGAGACGTTAAGATGCAAGGAAAATTGAAATGGACAGACGAAGCCCAAACAGTTTTTGAAAAAAATTAAACATTTGCTTACTTCAGCACCGATTTTGACTAATCCGGACTTTAGCAAAAAGTTCTATTTGCACTGCGATGCAAGCAACTTCGGAATTGCACTAATACCAATTGGACGGCGAAAGTAATGAAAGGCAATCGCCTTTATGAGTAAGAAATTGAACTCGGCTCAGCGCAATTATAGCGTAACTGAGTATGAATGTCTTGCTGCTGTCGAGACAATAAAAAAGTTTAGATGTCACTCTTGGAGTTCGAAGTAATTACTGGCCATTCGAGCCTTTTATGGTTAATGAAGCAACTTGACCTCAGTGGGAGATTGGCTAGGTGGGTATTCAAGCTTCAGGCATATTGGTTCACAATAAGTCATCGAAATGGTAAATACCGTGTGGTCCCAGATGTGTTATCGAGAATCCCCGAAGAGCAACTTTGTAGTCTCGAAATTTGTGAGTCTGAGATTGACCTAGATTCCCCCTCATTTGACACTAATGCGTATAAGGAGCTTCGAGGCAAAATTATAAATAACCAGTCCCAATATCCTGATTTGAAAGTGATTCATCAGTATGTATATATCCGCACTCAACACTATACCGGTCGTGAAGAGCAGGAAGAACAGTGTTGGAAGTTATGGGTTCCAGAAGAACTTCGGAACCAGGTTATTTCCAGAGCTCATAACAATAAAATTACTGCTCATGGAGGCATGCACAAAACTATCGATTTGATTAGAAAAAAATCTTTTGGACTGGAATAGTCTCCGAAGTAAGAGAATTTGTACAAAAATTTGAGATTTGTAATACAACAAAATCTCCAAATACTGTTATGAAACCTCCTATGGGAAATCAAGCCCAGTCTGTTAGACCATTTCAGCGGATTTATGTAGATCTTTTAGATCCATATCCGGGAAATATAAGTATACTAATTATTCTAGATCATATATCTAAGCTACACTGGTTATTCCCACTTCGAAAATTCACTACTACTGTTTTTCAGGAAATCTTGCAAGGACAGATAT